CTGCTGGAACACGACCACCCCGCCTTTCTTCTTGTAAAACTGAAAAGACAGTGAAGGAGCCAGAGCATGAGCGTTTGAGAAAGAGAGATCATCTTCTAAAGATGCGGAATTTACTAAACTTGCTATACTTCTTTTTTCTTCTTCTTAAATTGGCTGAATTCATTTCAGATTCATACGTTGGTTGCAAGTTAAGACGTATTTAACCAGGTTCAAACTTTGAACAGTTTAGTAGGAGTTCAGTTATGCACATGCCCACCTTATGTTTGATGTGTTGTAAGGTGGGAAAGCCACAGAAGTACAGAGCTGAGCGGTCAACGGGCTTGCTGACGTGATCTAATGAAACTTGCCAAGCGTCCATGGGGATGTGCGCCGTCCTGTGAGGATCAACCACAAAAGGCAATCAGCCACAGACAAATACGACTGTTGAATTCACCTCAATAAGACCAAACGCGTGAGTTTTCTTCAGAAATAATGAGGATCATTACCATGTGCAGTAAACCTAAATTTGCCTAAAACGACTCTGACAATAAACAGAAAGAAACTGAAAGCATGTGTTAGCTTTATTTCAGGCTTTAGCTTCATTAATATGGCTGCACTCCTCAGCTTAAGCAGGTTTTCTTCTATTTTCCTGCAGCATGAAGACTCTGCTGAAAAACACCACAGCCTCAGTGACATATACACTGCTATGAGAGTCTTTCACCGATTATTCTCAGTTTTCTTCGTGCAGAAGAATCATGTTTGTGTGCAGGTACCTTAACAACCGCCTGGTGGGCAAAGGGGAGGACCTGTTTGGCCCACTGTTTCTCCAGTTCCACCACACCATTGGCTTTGGGAACGTATTTTCTTCCAGTCAGCAGTTGGCCGTATAAAACCACCTCTGTCTCATTTATCACGATGCCTTTCCTCTTCAAAAAACTGCGAGAAAGAAAAGCATAAATAACTAAAGAAGCCAAAGAATATGATGGTTCAAAGAACAGAAGTAAAGGATTGTTTCAACAATATGAAAGAGTAGAAATGACTGAAGATGCATACAAACTCAAACACTTGCATTATTTTGCTGAGTTTCTTACTATTCAGTGATTCCTTGGACGTCCTTAATCCAGTCCTTCTGCTCCTTGTCAGACAGACAGGTGACTTTGGCGGGAGGAGGAGTGCTCGGCCTGTCGTACACTCTTTGGACACCCGGTGGTTCCTCAAGATAAAATCTTCAGA